CCAGTTGAATTTGGTTCACATTCCAAGTTACAGTAGAGCTACCCCCTTGGATTGATTTTTTTAAAAAATGCAAACTTATCTATATTAGAGTTTGACTGCCAAATTGAAATGTTGAAACATTGAAACAAAAGCAGCGAACATATCCATGGCACGCCACCACCCAGGGCTGATGGAAGTTGTCATCTGGAGGCACTTCCTTGGGCTTAGGCAAGCCCAGTGGCCTTTAGAGCAAGTGAGCAGCAAGGGCAGAGGATGTCCTTGAAAGGAGAACAGGGAGAGCAGCGGGGGCACAGGGAAAGCCCAGCAGATTACCACCCCCAGCCGGTCTCTGTGGCAATGCAGCCTGCCACTCCACCTGCTCAAATATGCCACTCCATGATACACTATCTCTCTCCTTCCCATGGAACAGAGCATAGCGGGTGGAACAGACTCCTCAGGTCTGCCACACTTAGAGCATTATTAGACCTGAGCTTTTTATAAGAATATTCTTAACATTGTAAACATTTATCTTATCACTGTCCAGTTCTTATCACAGTTTACTTTTCAATTCTTATTAGCAACTTTTAATTACAGTCCAGAAGGAAGTAGTCATTGCCGGTCTTAACATTATACTGGTGTCTCCAAAATTATTAACTCCCTCCTTTCATCCTTTCATTTTTCCATTCATTCTCACAGATCATTTAATTCACATTTATCAAATCTGTACATTAAATTTATTGTGACAGGAGGCTCCCATGCCAGTGATGTGATAAATCCATTTCATGTTTTGTTTAGTTTTAAATGAGCCATTCAACAGGCTAATAGATCTAGAAAAAGAATTCAGTACCATGAACAGTTCCCTTACATGCTAGATAACAATCCCTGAAAGTTTATGTCAAACACAACTTATTTTGTTAGGGTCCCACAAAACTCTTTGCACATGCCTAAAGAGAAAATTCCACATGTAGCAAGAAAATATGTAGCTTGTTCCTTCTGATCTCTGTAACCATTTGACATATTTATTTATTTATTTATTTATTTATTTATTTATTTATTATTCGAACTTATATGCCGCCACTCCCCTGGGGCTCAAAGCGGCTTACAAGAAAGGTGTACAGAAGTGTTTATAATAATATGCTTATAACTGTATTTATGTTTGTATTGGTTGCCCTTAGGCTGGAGCGGCCTAGCTGTTAGGAATGTGTTACCATGGAAACGAGGCAGAAGAGGAGGTGGGAGGAGCTTAGAGAGTTAAGGTTTTTGAAAAGTGACAGTTAGAGTCAGTCAGGGTTTTAGGCTCAGGGAAGAGCAGGTCAGGATTGAGACTCTGAGAAGTGAAGAGTCAGGTTTCAGTGTTCGTGAATAGTAGAGATTTCTTCAGTTAGGAAGCTGAAGGGGAAAACCTTGTTAGTTGCTTTAGTTAGAAAGAACTAACAGAGGCTTGTTAAGATCGCTAGTCGGGAGAAGACTAGAGATCTGTCGTTTGATCAAGGATAGATCAAACAGGGAGACTATTCACTGCAGGGAACACTGGTTAATAAAGTGCTTCACCACAGCAAGAGTTCATAAGTTGTAACATCGAAAGTCTGAATTGTATCGCAACCAAGTTACATGTAACCTTCAATTATTTGCCAAGCTTAACATCATCATACTGCAACCATACGCTTTGTTTAAAAATAAACTTGTTCTCTTTAGTTTTTGAAACTGCCTCATCTCCATTAATTCTACGTTCGTGTACCCAATCTCCCAAAATTACCTCACAACACAAACAGGGTGGCATCCAGTGGTATTAATACCAGAGCCTTTTACAAATCGGTGGCTCCTCTCTCCTAAACCTAAGGGTCTTCCTCACTAATTGGTGGCGATCTTTTACGACCTGGTAGCCGTCTCTTTACAATTTGGTGGCAGAATTTAAAAACAATTTAAAACAATTTAAAAACAGCAAAATCAAAAATCAAAGGCCTGTCGAAACAGGTATGTCTTACATGCCCTGCGGAAAGCTGATAAGTCCCGCAAGGCACGGACTTCAGGTGGCAGAGTATTCCAGAGTGATGGTGCCACTGCTGTAAAGGCTCTGCGTCTGGTTGCTGTTAGATGCAAGGTCTTGACACTGGGAATTTCCAATAGATCTTGGTCCTCAGAACGGAGGGATCTCTGGGGTTGGTAGGGGGTGAGGCGGTCCCTCAGGTACACGGCCCCAGACCATGCAAGGCCTTAAAGGTGAGTACCATCACTTTGAAAGTGATCCGGTGCTCAATTGGTAACCAATGCAGCTGTAGTAAGATTGGTGTTATGTGGCATCTCATCGGAATTCCCGCAAGAAGCCAAGCAGCTGCATTTTGTACCAACTTGAGCTTCCGGATCACCGACAGAGGAAGGCCAATGTAGAGGGCGTTACAGTAGTCCAGTCTTGAGATGACTGTAGCCTGGATCACCGTAGCTAGGTCGTCCCTGGACAGGTAGGGGGCCAGCCGTCTAGCCTGCCGCAGATGAAAAAAGGCGGTTCTGCTGATGGCGGAGACCTGGGCCTCCATCGTCAGCAGAGGGTCCAAAAGGACTCCCAGACTCTTTACCAATGATGACGGGAGTAGCGCCTCGCCATCCAGGGTAGGCAGCTGGATATCCCCACTGCCTGGTTGACCCAGCCGTAGGATCTCCATCTTTGCTGGATTCACCCTCAACCTGCTGGCACGCAGCCATCCAGTAACGGCCTCGAGGCACTGATGGAAATAATCGGGTACAGAGTCCGGTCGGCCTTCCATCTTCAGCACCAGCTGAGTGTCATCAGCGTACTGGTAACACTCAAGCCCAAAACCTCGAACCAACTGAGCAAGTGGTCGCATATAGATGTTAAACAACAGAGGGGAGAGAATGGCCCCCTGAGGAACCCCACAAGACAGAGGGGACCTCTCAGAGACCAGGCCTCCCCTCTCCACTCGCTGTCCACGGTTGTGAAGAAAAGAGGACAGCCAGTTAATTATTATTATTATTATTATTATTATTATTATTATTTATTAACTTTATTTGTACCCCGCTAACATCTCCCGAAGGACTCGATGCGGCTACAAAGCCGAGGTCTCAATAAAACAACAATACAACAATATACATAAACCATAAAGCAAATCAAAACAATTAAAGCAATAACAGTAAACAGTAAAAACAATACACCATAACACAACCAGTTTAAAGCTGTCCCCCTGACTCCAACAGCAGCAAGGCGGTGGGTCAAAAGATTGTGGTCGACTGTGTCAAATGCTGCTGTGAGATCCAATAACACAAGCAGCGCTGACCCGCCCTGGTCAAGCTGGCATCGAAGGTGATCCGTGATGGAGACCAGCACAGTCTCTGTCCCGTGCCCCGCACGGAAGCCGGACTGGAAGGGATCTAGTCTGGCTGTGTCGTCTAAGAATTGCTGCAACTGCTCCGCTGCTGCCCTCTCAATCATATGTTTCTCCTGAGGTCAGTTCAAAAACTTGTTGGTAAATTTAAAAAGTAGAAATAAATCAAGAACAGGAACAGAATTCATTACGCTATGGACAAGTGATTCCAAGTTAACCATGGAATCACACCGGAGGACCTCAAGATTTCTGAAATAATGTTAAATCAAATCTATTAATGATCAAATTCGCAAAAGTCAAACTCATAAATATGTAGGACCAACTGTATATGTGCATAAGCCATACACACCTGTGTGACTAATAGAATTTTGGCCCCATTCTTCAGCTCTTTCATTGACAAAGAATGAATTTAAACAGATATTTGACCGAGGCTCCTTACAGGGAGCGGTCATCCCTCCTGTTCAAGGAGCTCCACTGGCTGCCATTCATTTTCCGGACCCAATTCAAGGTGCAGGTTCTTACCTACAAAGCCCTGAACGGTTTGGGACCCGCCTACCTGCATGACCGCATCTCTGTATACGAACCCACACAATCTCTTCGATCATCTGGAGAGGCCCTGCTCTCGATCCCACCAGCATCGCAGGCGCAATTGGTGGGGACGAGAGAGAGGGCCTTTTCGGTGGTGGCCCCTCGACTCTGGAACTCACTCCCTAAGGACATCAGGCAGGCCCCAACCCTGGCAGTTTTCAGGAGGAACTTGAAGACGTGGCTGTTCCAGTGTGCCTTCCCAGATTAACGATCCCATAGCACTTTGTCCCTCTAAAGCACTTTACATTTTTTAGGTCTGCTCATATGTCTTTCCACAAACGCCACTATCACCTTTTCGTCCATGTTCAGCACTATTTCCAATTTTAATTTTACATTTGGCCTTCCCATAGTTTTAATTGTATGTTGTCTTATTGATAATGTTATATGTTTATGTTTTATTTTAATTGCTTGTATTGTTGTGATTATTGCTTGTATTGTGTGTTTGGGCTCGGCCTCATGTAAGCCACACCGAGTCCCTTGGGTGAAGTAAAGGTAAAGGTAGTCCCCTGACATTAAGTCCAGTCATGTCTGACTCTGGGGTGTGGTGCTCATCTCCATTTCTAAGCCGAAGAGCCAGCGTTGTCCGTAGACACCTCCAATGTCATGTGGCCGGCATGACTGCATGGACTACCTTCCCACCGGAGCGGTACCTATTGATCTACTCACATTTGCATGTTTTCGAACTGCTAGGTTGGCAGAAGCTAGGGCTGACAGCGGAAGCTCACGCCGCTCCCCGGAATCGAACCTGCGACCTTTCAATCAACAAGCTCAGCAGCTCAGTGCTTTAACCCACTGCGCCACCGGGGGCGCAGAGATATCAGAGATAAAAATATTTAATAGTATTTAATAATATTTAATAATAATAAAATAAAGTGTTATTATTATTATTATTATTATTATTATTATTATTATTTTCCCACCCTACCTAAGTGGGAATCACTCCTAGCCTTGCCATGTATTTGCTTCACAGCAACGTCAGATAATTCCTTTCTGAAATTATTTCTTCCTTTTTTTGCAATTAAATGATGAATCTTCCTGTCTTCCACATTGCTGCACTACTCCTAACTCACTCAGTGTGTGATGTCTATCTGTTGAGCACCCGAGGGTTCACATGAGTTCTTCCTATGTTGATGTTTCCAAGTTCCCTTGATATGCCTGGGAACTGCCAAGACAAGTACCAGCCAAGGTCCCTCCTCTGACCCTCCCACCCTAAAGGGAACAGTCTAACTTTCTGCTTAGTTTCCTAGAAGGAGGACAAGACTAATTTTTTTTCATACACCTCTCCAAATGTCACTGTGACATTCATTATTGTGCCAGCTAGAACATTGGAAAGATGAACTGGAAGCAAGTGCTTTTTCTGACCTATCTCATGACTCTTGTGCTCCTGATTGGTATGTACGGTTTGCAAAAATAACTAAGAGGAAAGGCTGGATTTCAGGAAACAATAATCTTGAAGTGCCCAGTGTGTGCTGGCATTTGTCATTTTAATAGGACGGAGGGAGGCTGTGTCTGATAACATTGCAATGGTAAGACGTTTTTCCAGATTACAGATATATCAGGTATACGGTTTCTTTTACTGGACTGTTGCTGTTGAGACAGGAGGGATGTAATGCATTGTGACCTTGGGTCAAATAGACTATGGGTTTCAAAGCAAATTTATCTCCGGTCAGATGTAATATTGGCAGGACCTTTGCAGATTTTAGTCTGAAGCACTTCTTTGTGATTTTCCCCAAGCTCCTACTGTGACTCTTTAACTGATTTAAACAATACTTGATCTTCTGTCTTGCTTAGTGCTTAAGGGAGCCAGCGCCATGTCTGTGGGCTCCAAGACAGTGGCCGTGGGTTCCAAGAAGGCGGCAACGGGAGAATCAAGAAAGGAAAGTAAGTGGGAAGATGCACTGTGATCCATTCCCTGATTTTGTTTTTGCAAAAAATATTCTTATTATTTTACTAGCTGTACCCGCCATGCGTTGCTGTGGCCAACCTTCCCTCTTTCTCTCCTTCTTTCCCTCCTTCCGTACCCTTCCTCTTTCCTTCCTTCCATTATTATTATTATTATTATTATTATTATTATTATTATTATTATTATTATTTAAAACACTTATATTCCGCCCTTCTCACCCCGAAGGGGACTCAGAGCGGAGCACAACATATACATGGCAAACATTCAATGCCTGGATACAATACATAAACATTAAAAACATTTATCTAAATATTAAAATACACCATTTAAAATAGCACAATTTAAAACCGTCCTAGCCCTTCCTTCCTTCCTTCCTTCCTTCCTTCCTTCCTTCCTTCCTGTCTTTCCTTCTCTTCTTCCATCCTTCTCTATCTCTTTCCTTCCTTCCCCCTTTTTCTTTCTCTTCTGCTGTCTCTTTTCTTCCTTCTCTCTTTCCTTCTTTCCTTCCCTCCCTCTTTCTCTACATCTTCTCCCTTCCTTCGCTCCCTCTTTCCTTCCTTCTTTCCCTTTTTTCTTTCTCCTTCCTTCTTCTTCTCTCTTCCTTCTCTTCTCTTTCCTTTCCTTCCCCTTTTTCTTTCTCCTCTGCTGTCTCTCTTTTCTTCCCTCTTTCCTTCTTTCTCTCCCTCTTTCTCTACATCTTCCCCCCTTCCTCCGCTCCCTCTTTTCTTCCTTCTTTCCCTTTTTTCTTTCCTTCTCTCCTTCCTTCCTTCTCTAACTTTCCTTCCTTCTCCCTTTTTCTTTCCCTCCCTCTTTCTCTCCTTTCTTCCTTCTCTACTTCTTTCCTTCCTTCTCTCTTTGCTTCCATGCTTCCTTATCCCTTTCCTTCTTTCTTTCCCTCCCTCCCTCTTTCTTTCTTTCTTTCTTTCTTTCTTTCTTTCTTTCTTTCTTTCTTTCTTTCTTTCTTTCTTTCTTTCTTTCTTTTCTTCCCCTTCCCTCCCTCTTTCTTCCCTTTTTCTGTATTGTCATTTAACTTTTCATCATTTAGCTTTTTGGGGCTTTTTAAGTCCCTTTTGCTGTGCTTTTCAGTGTTTTTTTGAGTGAAGGACATACATTGGGTTGTTAGGTGTCTTGTGTCCAAATTTGGTGTCAATTCCCCCAGTGGTTTTTGAGTTCTGTTAATCCCACAAACGAACATTACATTTTTATTTATATAGATCATGGTTTAATACATTTGTTATACATTGTTTATTTCACAGCAGATACATATTATTCAATACAACCTACCATACTTTAACTTTTGGCATCTAGTGTTATTTTTCTGCTTATACATACTGTGTATCCCTCACCACTGTGCTTCCCACAGCCATCCCAAGCCACAGCTTTTGCATATCATCTGTCTAAAATTTCAATTCTTCTTGTGGAGGTAACTTTTCTTCTTTCTTTTTAAACCCCTTTTCAATAATTTTTCTCCATACATAATCAAAATCACTTTGTTTCCATATACCTCTTTTAACTTTTAATATACATGCCAGCTTATCATTTATTGTCAATTTCCATACTTCCTTGTACCACTCCTCTATTTGTGTATTTATTTCTCACTAGCTGTCCCCTGCCACGCCTTGCTGTGGCCCACTCTGGTGGTCATGGGGGTTCTGTGTGGGAGGCTTGGCCCAATTCTATTGTTGGTGGGGTTCAGAATGCTGTGTGATTGTAGGTGAACTACAAATCCCAACAACTACAACTCCCAAATGTCAAGATTCTATTTTCCCCAAATTCCACCAGTGTTCTCATTTGGGCATATTGAGTATTCATGCCAAATTTGGTCCAGGTCCATCATTGTTTGAGTCCACAGTGCTCTCTGGATGTAGGTGAACTACAACTCCAAAACCAAAGGACACTGCCCACCAAACCCTTCCAGTATTTTCTGTTGGTCATGAGAGAACTGTGTGCCAAGTTTGGTTCAATTCCATCGTTGGTGGGGTTCAGAATGCTCTCTGATTGTAGTTGAACTATAAATCCCAGCAACTACAACTCCCAAATGAGAAAATCAATCTTTTTGAGTGAAGGACATACACTGGGTTGCTAGGTGTCTTGTGTCCAAATTTGGTGTCAATTCCCCCAGTGGTTTTTCAGTTCTGTTAATCCCACAAATGAACATTACATTTTTATTTATATAGATTTCCAGTTCCTTGCTATAAGCAGTCTTGCTATTGTTAATAAATTTGTTATCACTTCTTTGTCCTCTTTTTTCAATTGTTTATTATTATATAATGATAATATAGCTATACTAGGACTTTTTTCTATTTTAATATTCATTATATCTCCTATTTCTCTAAATACTTTCCCCCCAAAATTATTTACATATTTACCTTGCCACCACATATGTATATATGTTTCTGATTCTTGACATCCTCTCCAGCAATTTTTTGAATAGCTTTTATTTATACTAGCCATCCCCTGCCACACATTGCTGTGACCCACATGGGGGTTCTGTGTGGGAGGTTTGGCCCAATTCTATCGTTGGTGGGGTTCAGAATGCTCTGTGATTGTAGCTGAACAATAAATCCCAGCAACTACAACTCCCAAATGTCAAGATTCTATTTTCCCCAAACTCCACCAGTGTTCACATTTGGGCATATTGAGTATTCGTGTAGAGTTTGGTCCAGATCCATCATTGTTTGAGTCCACAGTTGTAGGTGAACTACAACTCCAAAACCAAAAGACACTGCCCACCAAACCCTTCCAGTATTTTCTGCTGGTCATGGGAGAACTGTGTGCCAAGTTTGGTTCAATTCCATCGTTGGTGGAGTTCAGAATGCTCTTTGATTGTAGGTGAACTATAAATCCCAGCAACTACAACTCCCAAACGTCAAGGTCAATGCCCACCAAACCCTTCTAGTGTTTTCTGTTGGTCATGGGAGTCCTGTATGCCATGCTTGGTTCAATTCCATCATTGGTGGAGTTCAGAATGCTCTCTGATTGTAGGTGAACTATAAATCCCAGCAACTACAACTTCCAAATGTCAAGGTCTATTTCCCCCAAACTCCATATTTGGGCATATGGAATATTTGTGCCAAGTTTGGTCCAGATCCATCATTGTTTGAGTGCACAGTGCTCTCTGGATGTAGGTGAACTACAACTCCAAAAACCAAAGGACACTGCCCACCAAACCCTTCCAGTATTTTCTGTTGGTCATGGGTGAACTGTGTGCCAAGTTTGGTTCAATTCTATCATCAGTGGAGTTCAGAATGCTCTTTGATTGTAGGTGAACTATAAATCCCAGCAACTCAAACTCCCAAATGACAAAATCATTTTTTTTAGTGAAGGACATAAATTGGGTTGTTAGGTGTATCGTGTCCAAATTTGGTGTCAATTCCCCCAGTGGTTTTTGAGTTCTGTGAATATCACAAACGAGCATTACATTTTTATTTATATAGATTTGCTATTCTTACTGGTGTTAGGTACCTAATATTAACTTATAATAATTTTCTTTAACCCGTATTGATAAATTGATAAATTCCCTGATTTTGGAAGTGAGCAGGAAAGAGAATACAAACAAGACTAATCACTTGTTTGTCTACTTGTTTGTCTGCTTCCAGGTCTGGAAAAGAGAGTCTTCATTCAAGAATCAGATGCCTCTAACTTTTTCAAGAAGCGAGGCAAAAGATCTACAAAATCTAGAGATGAACTTAATGGTGAGATTGTTTGGAGGCTGTTTATGTCAAGGTCTGATTCCCTGAATACCCTTTTCATCTATTTTTTCTTATTTGTCTGTCGCATTCTGGAGTAACAAGTAACTTGAGAGTCAAAATAATCTCATTATTTGTACCCCTTTGATATTAGTCTACATATATATTGACTAGCGGTCCCCTGCCACACATTGCTGTGGCCCAGTCTCGTGAGCTGAAAAATAAAGTAATGAGAAAGGGTTGGTTTCTAATATCTGTATTTTCTCTATCCTTGTGAGTAAACAGTATTTCTTGTTGTTTCTTTGTCAGTGTTGATGTAGAGATTGTCTGGTTTGCCTACTCTGGAACATGCAACATATCATTGTCCTTCTTTAGGGGTCCCTTTCAAATCTAGGATACTATATCTGTGTGTGTGTGAATCATATATATCTATCTATATCTATGGCTGGATGGCTCTTTGTCAGGAGGGCTTTGATTAGATTTTCTTGCCCTGGTGAAAAAAGTTGGACTGGATGGCCTTAAGTCAGCATTTCTCAACTTGGGGTTTGGGACCCCTGAGGGGGGTTGTGAGGGGGTGTCAGATGGGTTGCCAAAGACCACCAGAAAACACAGAATTTTCTGTTGGTCATGACAGTTCTGTGTGGAAAGTTTGCCCCAATTCTGTCGTTGGTGGGGTTCAGAATGTTCTTTGATTGTAGGTGAACTATAAATCCCAGTAACTACAACTCCCAAATGTCAAGGTCTATTTCCCCAAACTCCATCTGTGTTTATATTTGGGCATATTGAGTATTCGTGCCAAGTTTGGTCCAGATCCATCATTGTTTGAGTCCACAGTGCTCTCTAGATGTAGGTGAACTACAACTCCAAAACTCAAGGTCAATGCCCACCAAACCCTTCTAGTGTTTTCTGTTGGTCAGGGGAGTCCTGTGTGCCAAGTTTGGTTCAATTCCATGTCGTTGGTGGGGTTCAGAATGCTCCTTGATTGTAGGTGAACTATAAATCCCAGTAACTACAACTCCCAAATGTTAAGGTCTATTTTCCCCAAACTCCATCTGTGTTTATATTTGGGCATACTGAGTATTTGTGCCAAGTTTGGTCCAGTTCCATCATTGTTTGAGTCCACAGTGCTCTCTAGATGTAGTGAACTACAACTCCAAAACTCAAGGTCAATGCCCACCAAACCCTTCTAGTATTTTCCGTTGGTCATGGGTGTCCTGTGTGCCACGTTTGGTTCAATTCAATCGTTGGTCGAGTTCAAAATGCTCTTTGATTATAGGTGAACTATAAATCCCAGCAACTACAACTCCCAAATGACAAAATCATAATTTTTGGAGTGATGGTCACTCCTTGTGTTGTGAGATATTTTGTTGCTAAATTTGGTGTGATTTCATTCATTGATTCTTTTGTTTTTAAGGTACTCATTACGCACAGAACATTTATATATATATATAGATTGCAACCGATTTATTCAAGGAAACGAGAAGTGTTTATTTCAAAAGAAATGATTGGCCAAATTTAGCTATTGTTGGTGCAAGGAGAGGAAAAAAAAACTCAATGGAAAAACAGTAGAACATAAAATAGGCAGGAATTTTTATTTATTTATTTATTTATTTATTTATTTACAGCCTTAAAGTAAATAAATAAATAAATAAATAAATAAAAGGAAAATAAATAAATAAATAAAGGAAAATAAATAAATAAATAAATAGAATAAATAAATAGAATAAAGAAATAAAATAAATTATGCCTGTTTAAATCAACCAATATTTGGAAAATTCCTTGGAGGTAGAATTTTAATTTAATTTCTTAATACTCATGCTTATTGCCAGGTAAATGAGATTCGCCAAAATCTTGATCTGGAAATGAAATTAGAAGAACATGTTAAATAACTATGTTTTAAAGAAGGAGGAGGGAGTATTTCTTAACTGCTTAAGCCACAGATTGCTTTAGTCAATGAATAGGAAGCTGTTGTGGGAGGTACAGGACATCATGGTGAAATTAATGTATCTGTTGGCAATATAGGGACTGTAAGTTTGTTAAAGCTAAAGCAGTTTTCTCTAAATAGGATTTAGAGAAGAAGATACTGAATTTCATTTAAGAACAACAGAAAAACAGTCTTTTTATTTCTCTGATGAGAAGAGTCTACAAGCCCAGTTATTTTTTTAAAGCTTTATTTAAGACTAGCTGTCCCCTGCCACGCGTTGCTGTGGCCCAGTCTGGTGATCTGGAAAATAAACTAATGAGAAAGTGTTGGTTTCTAATATATGTAATTCCTTTATGCTTGTGGGTAAACAGTATTTCTTGTTGTTTCTTTGTCAGTGTTGATGTGGAGAGTGTCTGTTTGCCTACTTTGGAACATGCAACATATCACAGTCCTTCTTTAAGGGTCTCTTTCAAATCTATGATACTATATCTCTGTGTGTGAGAGAGAATCATATCTATCTATCTATATTTATGACTGGATGGCTCTTTGTCAGGAGGGCTCTGATTACATTTTCTTGCCCTGGAGAAGCGAGTTGGACTGGATGGCCTTAAGTATTGGTCATGGGGGTTCTATGTGGGGGGTATGTCCCCAATTCTATCATTTGGAGTTCAGAATGCTCTTTGATTGTAGGTGAACTATAAATCCCAGTAACTACAACTCCCAAATGTCAAGGTCTATTTCCTCCAAACTCCATCTGTGTTCATATTTAGGCATATGGAATTTTTGTGTCAAGTTTGGTCCAGATCCATCATTATTTGAGTCCACAGTGCTCTCTGGATGTAGGTGAACTACAACTCCCAAACTCAAGGTCAATGCCCACCAAACCCTTCCAGTATTTTCTGTTGGTCATGGAATTCTGTGTGTCAGTTCAATTCTATCATTGGTGGGGTTCAGAATGCTCTTTGATTGTAGGTGAACTATAAATCCCAGCAACTACAACCAGGGCCGTCTATTTTTCCCAAACTCCATCTGTGTTCATATTTGGGCATATGGAATTTTCGTGCCAAGTTTGGTCCAGATCCATCATTGTTTGAGTCCACAGTGCTCTCTGGATGTAGGTGAACTACAACTCCCAAACTCAAGGTCAATGCCCACCAAACCCTTCCAGTGTTTTGTTGGTCATGGGAGTTCTGTGTGCCAAGTTTGGCCCAATTCCATCATTGGTGGAGTTCAGAATGCTCTTTGATTGTAGGTAAACTATAAATCCCAGCAACGACAATTCCCAAATGACAAAATCATTTTTTTTGAGTGGAGGACATACATTGGGTTGTTAGGTGTCTTGTGTCCAAATTTGGTGTCAATTCCCCCAGTGGTTTTTGAGTTCTGATGGTATCAGAAATCATTTCTATTTATATAGAAGAAACAGGACTTTTTGTGTATTGAAGGCTTTCATGGCTGGAATCACTGGGTTGTTGTAGGTTTTTGGGGCTATACGGCCATGTTCTAGAAGCATTCTCTCCTGACATTTCACCTGTAGCTATGGCCAGCGTCCTCACAACGTCTGAGGATGCTTGCCATAGATGCAGGCGAAATGTCAGGAGAGAATGCTTCTAGACATGGCCATATAGCCCCAAAAATCTACAACAACCCAGAGCTTTTTGTATTGCTGTTTAGGACACATGATACAGTGTAACAGAATTAGTTCACATTAAGATGAGAAAGATTTGGCTCACAACAAAGAACATTGTAATGGAAATCACCAATCTGATGAAAGAGGTTGATATTGTCATGGTGTATGCAAACAGTTAATCGTTTAGTATTTCATAACTGGGGATGAGGGGAAAAAAAGAACAATAGGGTCCAGTGTTTTTATGGTTTACTTTGTGTATGTGTGCTTATGCACCTCTAGCGTTTGCTCTGTGGTGCCCCAGAAGGAAATACATAAAAGAAATGTTGATTCCTTAGGTTTAACCTACTCCCTTCAGATTCATCTGTGATAAGCATAACTTCAAGGCAAAAGCTGCACATCGCAAGTGCTGAACCTGACTCAGCACATAGAAGATTGCTTTGAAAGGCAGCAGGTCACAGGAGCTGTCTTCATAGACCTGTCAGCAGCCTATGATACTGTGAACCACCGCCTCCTCCTGAGAAAAATGTATAATATCACAAAGGACTACCACCTCACCCGCCTCATGGGAAACCTGCTACAAAACAGGAGCTTTTTTGTTGAGTTCCAGGGCCAGAGAAGCAGATGGCGGAAACAGAAGAACGGCTTGCCTCAGGGGAGCGTGCTTGCTCCATCCATGTTCAACATTTACACAAATGACCAGCCACTGCCAGAAGGGACAGAGAGTTTCATCTATGCTGATGATCGTGCCATTACTGCTCAAGCAGGGAGCTTTGAGATGGTAGAAGAGAAGCTCTCCAAAGCTCTAGGTGCTCTTACTGCCTATTACAGGGAAAACCAGTTGATCCCTAATCCATCTAAAACACAGACATGTGCTTTTCATCTCAAGAACACACAAGCATCCCGAGCTCAGAGGATCACCTGGGAAGGAATTCCCACTGGAGCATTGCAACACACCCAAAAACCTGGGAGTCACTCTGGACCGTGCTCTGACCTACAAAAAGCACTGCCTGAACATCAAGCAAAAAGTGGGCGCTAGAAACAACATCATACGAAAGCTGACTGGCACAACCTGGGGATCACAACCAGACACAGTGAAGACTTCTGCCCTTATGCTATGCTACTCTGCTGCTGAGTATGCATGCCCAGTGTGGAACACATCTCACCACACTAAAACAGTGGATGTGGCTCTTAATGAGACATGCCGCATTATCACGGGGTGTCTGCGCCCTACACCACTGGAGAAATTACACTGCTTAGCCGGTATTGCACCACCTGACATCCACCGGGAAGTAGCAGCCAATAATGAAAGGACCAAGACAGAGACATCTCCAGCTCATCCCCTGTTTGGGTATCAGCCAGCACGTCAACAACTTAAATCTAGAAATAGTTTTCTAAGATCTACAGAGACACTTGCTTAAACACCCCAGCAAGCAAGAGTCCAAAAGTGGCAGGCTCAAACCCAGAACCTCAACCAATGAGAGACTCCTCCTTGGGCACTCAGAAGACTGGGCGACTTGGAAGGCGCTGAACAGACTGCGCTCTGGCACCACGAGATGCAGAGCCAACCTCAAGAAATGGGGCCACAAAGTGGAATCCACGACATGCGAGTGTGGAGAAGAGCAAACCACTGACCACCTGCTGCAATGCACCCTGAGCCCTGCCACATGCACAATGGAGGACCTTCTTGCAGCAACACCAGAAGCACTCCAAGTGGCCAAAGATACTGGTCAAAGGACATTTAATCAACTACCAGACTTGCAAATTTTGTGTTTGTCTGTTTGTTTGTTTTGTTCTGTTAGAAATGTAATACAATTGACTGGTTGCCCTGACACGACAAATAAATAAATAAGGCCATCTCAACTGTAGCATGCCAATTGTGGAACCCTCTTTATAGAGAACCTTTACAGGTGCCAACATCGGTCTCATTCTGATGCAAAGTGAAAACATGGCATTTTACTAAAGCCTTGGGGACTATTCTTCAGCCAAGTTTACACATGATCACAGTTATACATTTCCTTAAACTGTGTTGTTTTCACTTACTATATTATTAGAATCATAGAATCAAAGAGTTGGAAGAGACCTCATGGGCCATCCAGTCCAACCCCCTGCCAAGAAGCAGGAATATTGCATTCAAATCACCTCGACAGATGGCCATCCAGCCTCTGTTTAAAAGCTTCCAAAGAAGGAGCCTCCACCACACTCCGGGGCAGAGTTCCACTGCTGAACGGCTCTCACAGTCAGGAAGTTCTTCCTCATGTTCAGATGGAATCTCCTCTCTTGTAGTTTGAAGCCATTGTTCCGCGTCCTAGTCTCCAAGGAAGCAGAAAACAAGCTTGCTCCCTCCTCCCTGTGGCTTCCTCTCACATATTAATACATGGCTATCATATCCCCTCTCAGCCTTCTCTTCTTCAGGCTAAACATGCCCAGCTCCTTAAGCCGCTCCTCATAGGGCTTGTTCTCCAGACCTTTTATCATTTTTATCGCTCTCCTCTGGACACATTAAATAGCCTTTTAGTCTGTTTAACTCATTCTCTTTGCATTATATTGTTTAAACTGGTTGCATTGTATGCCACTCAGATATAAAGATGAATATTCAAGCAAATAAGTGTGATAAAATAACATTAATCCTTATCTTCCTTTGCTTTCTCTTAAGACCAGCTGTCTAACTCTCTGTATATATGTTTTTATGCAGCAGAGACAAGGCAGATGCTTGCAGCAGATGAACAAAGGAGGGAGTACTATGAGGAGCAGAGGAATGAATTCGAGAACTTTGTCGAGGAAGAACGTGATGGTAAGAGTACAACAAGGACTGGGAACTTTATTTTGGAAAGCCTGAGTACACAATCATTCTATCCTGGCAAAGGTACATGCTGTGGAAATGCCTTTTATATCTGTTTAGGAATTGCATATCTCAAGGCCTGGCTCCTCCTTCTTGGGATCTTCAGGGGTAGGGGAGGAATCTCAAGTGAGAGTGCTGCCTTGAAAACATGTTTGTTGTTGTTCATTCGTTCAGTCGCTTCCGACTCTTCGTGACCTCATGGACCAGCCCACACCAGAGCTCCCTGTTGGTCGTCACCACCCCCAGCTCTTTCAAGGTCAAGCCAGTCACTTCAAGGATGCCATCTATCCATCTTGTCCTTGGTCGGCCCCTCTTCCTTTTTCCTTCCATTTTCCCCAGCATCATTGTCTTCTCCAAGCTTTCCTGTCTTCTCATGATGTGGCCAAAGTACTTCATCTTTGCCTCTACTATCCTTCCCTCCAATGAGTAATCGGGCTTTATTTCCTGAAGGATGGACTGGTTGGACCTTCTTGAGGTCCAAGGCACTTTCATAACTTTCCTCCAGCACCACAGTTCAAAAGCATCTATCTTCCTTCGCTCAGCCTTCCTTATGGTCCAGCTCTTACATCCGTAGGTGACTACGGAGATTACCATTGCTTTTACTATGCAGATCTTCATTGCCAGTGTGATGTCTCTATACCCGTACATGTACCTATACATACATACTTCAGTTAATGAAGTAGCTATGATCTTAGGTATTAATAACTTGGAATGAATACCAAAAAAAGGAGTTCCGTGAGTTTCAGCAAAAGTTTTATTCAAAACTAACAATACACATATGGGTTGTTGTAGGTTTTTTTAGGCTATATGGCCATGGTCTAGAGGCATTCTCTCCTGACGTTTCGCCTGCATCTATGGCAAGCATCCTCAGAGGTAGTGAGGTCTGTTGGAACTAGGAAGTAAGGGTTTATATATCTGTGGAATGACCAGGGTGGGACAGGGAGAATGCCTCTAGAACATGGCCATATAGCCCGAAAAAAACCTACAACAACCCAGTGATTCTGGCCATGAAAGCCTTCGAGGTAACCTCACTACCTCTGAGGATGCTTGCCATAGATGCAGGTGAAACGTCAGGAGAGAATGCCTCTAGACCATGGCCATATAGCCCGAAAAAACCTACAACAACCCAGTGATTCCGGCCATGAAAGCCTTCGAGGTAACCTCACTACCTCTGAGGATGCTTGCCATAGATGCAGGTGAAACGTCAGGAGAGAATGCCTCTAGACCATGGCCATATAGCCCGAAAAAAACCTACAACAACCCAGTGATTCTGGCCATGAAAGCCTTCGAGGTAACCTCACTACCTCTGAGGATGCTTGCCATAGATGCAGGTGAAACGTCAGGAGAGAATGCCTCTGATGCAAGTGGCCACAATTTTTAAACAGATAGATAGATAGATAGATAGATAGATAGATACTCACTACCTCTGAGGATGCTTGCCATAGATGCAGGTGAAACGTCAGGAGAGAATGCCTCTAGACCATGGCCATATAGCCCGAAAAAACCTACAACAACCCAGTGATTCCGGCCATGAAAGCCTTCGAGGTAACCTCACTACCTCTGAGGATGCTTGCCATAGATGCAGGTGAAACGTCAGGAGAGAATGCCTCTAGACCATGGCCATATAGCCCGAAAAAACCTACAACAACCCAGTGATTCTGGCCATGAAACCCTTTGACAATACAACACACATATGTGAAACAAATTGCAGCCCTTCACACATCGCAAACCTACTTCCGGATGTCATCTGTGGAGTTTTGTCTATGAATTATTTTAGAACTGTGGAGAAATAGAAGGGAAACAGGAGCTGGTAAGAAATCATCTTCTGAGTTCATCATCCACGTGGAAATGTGAGAAAAACATGTGGGACTGGATCTGTCAAGTGTGACTGTGTGGAATAGCTTCAGTGACATGGAGTAAAGGGCGTTCCTATGGGTGGTCTTCAACTGAGCATTGACAAAAAAAAAAAAAAGCCTATGGGATTTTGGCCTGCATCAATAGGAGTATAGTGTCTAGATCTAGGGAAGTCATGCTACCTCTCTATTCTGCTTTGGTTAGACCACATCTGGAATATTGTGTCCAATCCTGGGCACCAAAATTGAAGAGAGATATTGACAAGCTGGAATGTATCCAGAGAAGGGTGACTAAAATGATCAAGGGTCTAGAGAACAAGCCCTACGAGGAGTGGCTTAAAGAGCTAGGCATGTTTAGCCTGAAGAAGAGAGGGCTGAGAGGAGACATGTTAGCCATGTATAAATACATGAGAGGGAGTCATAGGGAGGAGGGAGCAAGCTTGTTTTCTGCTTCCTTGGAGACTAGGACGTGGAACAATGGCTTCAAAGTACAAGAAAGAAGATTCCATCTGAATGTGAGGAAGAATTTCCTGACTGTGAGAGCCATTTAGCAGTGGAACTCTCTGCCCCAGAGTGTGGTGGAGGCTCCTTCTTTGGAAGCTTTTAAACAGAGGCTGGATGGCCATCTGTCAGGGGTGATTTGAATGCAATATTCCTGCTTCTTGGCAGGGGGTTGGACTGGATGAAGTCTCTTCCAACTCTATGATTCTATGATCCTCTATGGATAGCACACACAGCACATATCTTATTTGTAGTCCAAAAAACACTTTAAAACAATACAATAATTAAAATTAACCATTTTAAACTTATTAGTATTTCAATGGGAAGTGTGGACCTGCTTTTGGCTGTTGTTGTTGTTGTTGTTGTTGTTGTTGTGTGCTTTCAAGTCGTTTCAGACTTATGTTGACCCTGAGCGAGGGCCGGGTAAATGACCATGGAGGGCCGAATCCGGCCCCCGGGTCTTAGTTTGAGGACCCCTGCTTCAGCCTAAAATGAGTTGAGGTGAAAGAAGGGCTCTTGTTGAACTAAAACAATGCTGAGAAAGGAATCTTTGATTTGCTTTTCAGGCTACAACTGTAAGCATCTCAGTTTCATGACACTGAGTCTGTAGTTTTTGGAACAATTGTTCTTAAAAATGTGCGTCACCTAATACTGCTGCAACTCACACAAAAAGTTCCTTCTTGTCTACAGTTACCAATTGTTTGGATTTTGCTAGAACAGTTCATAAATACACAACTGTGTCTTGAATTTTAAATACAACTTTGAAAAACAAAGAGAGAGGGAAGTGTATAACAAACTCTATAAACATCTACCAAATAAGGGTATTTCTTTTCTGAAAGACAGCTGCTCATGGGTTTCGGGTCCCAGTATCCTCTGCATAGGGAAACAGACTCTGCCTATGCAAAGCCTGGAAGCCATTTTGGTAATCTAGAAGTTGTGCTAGCTCTGGTGCAGCTTCAAATTCCTTTAAAAACCCCTCACATTTTTATAATGGAACTAGAATAATAGAATCATAAAGTTGGAAGAGACCTCACAGGCCATCCAGTCCAACCCCAGGTCAAGAAGCAGGAAAATTGCATTCAAAGCACCCCTGACAGATGGCCATCCAGCCTCTGTTTAAAAGCTTCCAAAGAAGGAGCCTCACCACACTCAGGGCAGAGAGTTCCACTGCTGAACAGCTCTCACAGTCAGGAAGTTCTTCCTCATGTTCAGATGGAATCTCCTTTCTTGTATTTTGAAGCCATTGTTCCACGTCCTAGTCTCCAAGGAAGCAGAAAACAAGCTTGCTCCCTCCTCCCTGTGGCTTCCTCTCACATATTTATACATGGCTATCATATCTCCTCTCAGCCTTCTCTTCTTCAGGCTAAACATGCCCAGCTCCTTAAGCCGCTCCTCATAGGGCTTGTTCTCCAGACCCTTGATCATTTTAGTCGCCCTTCTCTGGACACATTCCAGCTTGTCAATATCTCTCTTCAATTGTGGTGCCCAGAATTGGACACAATATTCCAGGTGTGGTCTAACCAAGGCAGAATAGAGGGGTAGCGTGACTTTAACCTGAAGAAGAGAAGGCTGAGAGGAGACATGATAACCATGTATCAAAATGTGAGAAGAAGTCATAGGAAGGAGGGAGCAAACCTGTTTTCTGCTGCCCTGGAGACTAGGATGCAGGACAATGGCTTCAAACTATAAGAAAGGAGATTCCATCTGAACTTCTTGACTGTAAGAGCTGTTCAGCAGTGGAACTCTCTGCCCCAGAGTGTGGTAGAGGCTTCTTCTTTGGAAGCCTTTAAACAGAGGCTGGATGACCATCTGTCGGGGGTGCTTTGAATGCAATATTCGTGCTTCTAGGCAGGGGATTGAACTGGATCGCCCATGCGGTCCCTTCCAACTCTATTATTCTATGATACTCAAATGATGGCACTGGTCCTTTCAGAAAACTATTCCTGGGATTCTTGTAGGATACCATGCTTGTTATAAAGCCACTGAGATATGTTATGAGCACAGTTGTGCTCTAAGAAAAATCAGTATAAACTTACGTTTCCTTTTCAATTGGAAATGGGACATATTTCTTCCTATACATAATTTTTTTCCTTCCAGAAAATTATACTGTTTTTACCAATATAACCACATCACATCCTACCACATACACACTGTGCAGAGAACTTGGCAGGAATGTAATATGACATATGCAGTCTAATTTCATTCTTGGGAACTCCCAACACTGTTCAGAGTGCCTGGAATGAAGCAAAATATGGGAAAAAACCCCAGTGGTGTCCTTTGTGACACATGTATTCTTTATTACACATGGGATATAGAATGGATTTTGGAAAGGGATTAATCAGCTTCCTTCTCAGTGATGTAATTTTATGGTCTGAGCTAAACCAAATACGTCAGAGGAAGTCACAAGGAGGAGGGAGCAAGTTTGTTTTCTGCTGCCCTGGAGACTAGGATGCGGAACAATGGCTTCAAACTACAGGAAAGGAAATTCCATCTGAACATTAGGAAGAATTTCCTGACTGTGAGAGCTGTTCAGCAGTGTAACTCTCTGCCCTGGAGTGTGGTAGAGGCGCCTTCTTTGGAAGCTTTTAAACAGAGGTTGGATGGTCATCTATCGGGGGTGCTTTGAATGCAATTTTCCTGCTTCTTGACAGTGAGTTGGACTGGATGGCCCATGAGGCTTCTTCCAACTATATGATTCTATGAAATGCACCAAAAGATAAACTTAGTCTTGTTACCTGAAAAAAATAAATGGATGGAGGGAAGGAATGGAAACAGAGTTGATTGATTCACTGGACTCGGTGGGGCTTACTTTCATATTTATGAACTCTGTGGACTCAATATCCATGGTTTCACTTACATATATATACTCCAAAAAATAATATTCCAGTCCCTGAACGAGTTTGTGGATTATTATTATTATCATTATTATTATTATTATTATTATTTACTTTATTTGTATACCGCTCTATCTCAGCCCGTAGGCGACTCAGAGCGGTTTACAGCCAAGTCAGTATACAAAGTGGACAGCATCAGCATTAAAACAGTAATCAGGGCAACTACAACAATATAACAGTACATCAATACAGCAATATAACATCAATACAACCATATAACTAATCTATCACGTCTCATCAGCAAAATCGTAATCCAATCTCTTAGTCCATTATTCCATGTTCCATGATCAATCAATTAATTGCACTGGTTAATTAAACGCCTGTTCAAAGAGCCAGGTCTTCACTCCTCTCCTGAACGCTAGCAGAGAGGGGGCCGATCTAACGTCTGCTGGAAGGGCGTTCCACAGCCGGGGGGCCACCACTGAGAAGGCCCTGTCTCTCGTCCCCACCAGCTGTGTTTGTGAGGCTGGCGGGATCGAGAGCAGGGCCTCCCCGGATGTTTATATACTTCTGTACTATTCTGTGGTGTGGTTCTGGTCTAAGTATACCAAAGTACAGGGCTTATAATTAGCTGTGGTTTCAGTTATCCATGGGAGGCAAGGTGAAACCATGGATCAAGAGTCCACAGATAAGGGGGCTCATACTGTATGCGACTAGTGTCTCATTCATCCTGTGATTCAAGACTTTTAAAGGCCAGGTTGTATGGATGAAGAACATACTGTATATACTTGAGTATAAGCCTAGTTTTTCAGCCCCTTTTTTAGGCTGAAAAAGCTCCCCTCGGCTTATACTTGAGCCAAGGTTATTTATTAATTTACTCTGTTATCAGTATTATTTTTATTATATTTATGTTATTACTCTATTATTATTTTTATTACATTTATTATTTACTCTATTATTATTCATGTTATTACATTTACATTATTTTTATTACATTTATTATTTTACTCTTTTTATTATTGTTATTAAATTTATTATTTTGCTCTCTTTATTATTGGAAGAATAGATAAGCACATTTACGTTGTAGGAGGCTAGAATGATGGTTTCATCAGAGCTGGACAGTCTTACATTATGTTGTTGTTCATTCGTTCAGTCGTCTCCGACTCTTCGTGACCTCATGGACCAGCCCACGCCAGAGCTCCCTGTTGGCCGTCACCACCCCCAGCTCCTTCAAGGTCAGTCCAGTCACTTCAAGGATGCCATCCATCCACCTTGCCTCTTCCTTTTACCTTCCACTTTCCCCAGCATAATTGTCTTCTCTAAGCTTTGCTGTCTCCTCATGATGTGGCCAAAGTACTTCAACTTTGTCCCTAGTATCCTTCCCTCCAATGAGCAGTCGGGCTTTATTTCCTGGAGGATGGACTGGTTGGATCTTCTCGCAGTCCAAGGCACTCTCAGAACTTTCCTCCAACACCACCGCTCAAAAGCATCTATCTTCCTTTGCTCAGCCTTCCCTAAGGTCCAGCTCTCACATCCGTAGGTTACTACAGGGAATACTATTGTTTTTACTATGCGGATCTTTGTTGCCAGTGTGATGTCTCTTCACTTTACTATTTTATCGAGACTGGACATTGCTCTCCTCCCAAGAAGTAAGCGTCTTCTGATTTCCTGGCCACAGTCTGCATCTGCAGTAATCTTTGCGCCTAGAAATACAAAGTCTGTCACGGCCTCCACATTTTCTCCCTCTATTTTCCAGTTGTCAATCATTCTTGTTGCCATAATCTTGGTTTTTTTTGTTTAGCTGCAACCCAGCTTTTGCGCTTTCTTCTTTCACCTTGATTAGAAGGCTCCTCAGCTCCTCCTCGCTTTCGGCCATCAGAGTGGTGTCATCTGCATATCTGAGGTTGTTAATGTTTCTTCCAGCAATTTTCACCCCAGCTTTGCATTCATCAAGCCCCGCACATCACATGATGTGTTCTGCATACAAGTTAAAAAGGTTGGGTGAGAGTATGCAGCCTTGCCGTACGCCTTTCCCAATCTTGAACCAGTCTGTTGTTCCGTGGTCAGTTCTGACTGTTGCTACTTGGTCCTTGTACAGATTCCTCAGGAGAGAGACAAGGTGGCTTGGTATGCCAAGGTTATTTATTAATTTACTCTGTTATTAGTATTATTTTTATTATATTTATGTTATTACTCTATTATTATTTTTATTACATTTATTATTTACTCTATTATTATTCATGTATACATTTACATTATTTTACTCTATTATTTTTATTAAATTTATTATTTTACTCTTTTTATTATTGTTATTAGATTTATTATTTTGCTCTCTTTATTATTATTGGAAGGATAGATAAGCACATTTACATTGTAGGAGGCTAGAATAATGGTTTCATCAGAGCTGGACAATCTTACATTATAGTTTTATGTAAATATTCAAAAACATTTAACCTACTGGTACCTCAATTAATGAAATTTTATTGGTATCTAGTTTTATTTTGAAATTGACCAGTAGCTGCTGCATTTCCCACCCTCGGCTTATATTCAAGTCAATACATTTTCCCAGTTTTTGTGGTAAAATTAGATGCCTCGGCTTATATTTGGGTCGGCTTATACTCGAGTATATACGGTATTTAATAGATCCCTCTACTATAGTAAACTTGGCTTTACCCAAAGCTTTTCAGAAATGAGTGTTGCTTTTTTTCCCATACCCTCCATACTGGATTAAATGCCACCAGTAAAGGGGCAGTGAAAATGTTTGTATTTCAAAACAACATATTTAAAATACTCTTCCTTTTACAGAGCAGGATGAAAGAAGCCGAGAACAGATTGAGCAATGGCGTGAATACCACTACGATGGCCTTGATCCACCCTATCTGTATAATCGGCATATTGTCTAGAGCAAATGTGAAGAAGACACTCCACCAAATAATAAAAATGGAAGTATCTGCTGGCTGCATCATTGGCAGGACAAATAGCAAAGCTCGATTTTTCACATTATGAGCTTGCTATTGATCTGCGGATTCTGAATATGCTTCATCCACCTGTCTCGTATTAGCATTGAATTTACTGATAGGCACGGCTTTCCTTTGTATTTTGAAGTGCTAGTAAATAGATGCCTCCAGACCTTGCTGCACAGGTCAAATTAATGCAAATATTTCAGATTTGTCTATGTATATATCATGTATATGAGCAACTCTACTTAGAGCAAGGGGGCAATCATTATTTTTACACAATTACTATATATAGAGGGAGGAACTAAACACAAAATCAGCTTGTGCTATAACTAGAGCATTTTAAATGATTTTAGACTGAAGGACAAAAATGGTCTTAAGTGTTTTTGCATCTGTTGAATGACAACTTATGCCAAATAAAGTGTGTTAGTCATTGAAGGTGCTACATGACTTTTTGTGATCTTATCATGTGCTTCAAGGCTTCAACAAGGTCCCCCATGACCTTCTGGCAAGGAAACTAGTCCAATGTGGGCTAGGCAAAACTACAGTGAGGTGGATCTGTAATTGGTTAAATGGACGAACCCAGAGGGTGCTCACCAATGCTTCCTCTTCATCTTGGAAAGAAGTGACGAGTGGAGTGCCGCAGGGTTCCATCCTGGGCCCGGTCCTGTTCAACATCTTTATTAATGACTTAGATGAAGGGCTAGAAGGCAGGATCATCAAGTCTGCAGACGACACCAAATTGGGAAGGATAGCCAATACTCCAGAGGACAGGAGCAGGATTCAAAACGATCTTGACAGATTGGAGAGATGGGCCAAAACTAACAAAATGAAGTTCAACAGTGACAAATGCAAGATACTCCACTTAGGCAGAAAAAAACGAAATGCAAAGATACAGAATGGGGGACAATGCCTGGCTTGAGAGCAGTACGTGTGAAAAAGATCTTGGAGTCCTCGTGGACAACAAGTTAAACATGAGCCAACAATGTGATGTGGCGGCAAAAAAAGCCAATGGGATTTTGGCCTACATCAATAGGAGCATAGTGTCTAGATCTAGGGAAGTAATGCTACCCCTCTATTCTGCTTTGGTTAGACCACACCTGGAATATTGTGTCCAATTCTGGGCACCACAATTCAAGAGAGATATTGACAAGCTGGAATGTGTCTAGAGGAGGGTGACTAAAATGATCAAGGGTCTGGAGAACAAGCCCTATGAGGAGCGGCTTAAGGAGCTGGGCATGTTTAGCCTGAAGAAGAGAAGGCTGAGAGGAGATATGATAGCCATGTATAAATATGTGAGAGGAAGCCACAGGGAGGAGGGAGCAAGCTTGTTTTCTGCTTCCCTGGAGACTAGGACGCGCAACAATGGCTTCAAACTACAAGAGAGGAGATTCCATCTGAACATGAGGAAGAACTTCCTGACTGTGAGAGCTGTTCAGCAGTGGAACTCTCTGCCCCAGAGTGTGGTGGAGGCTCCTTCTTTGGAAGCTTTTAAATAGAGGCTGGATGGCCATCTGTCAGGGGTGATTTGAATGCAATATTCCTGCTTCTTGGCAGGGGGTTGGACTGGATGGCCCATGAGGTCTCTTCCAACTCTTTGATTCTATGATTCTCTATTAAAAGTATTTTAGCCACTAGTAATGGCTTTCCTTAATAATTTGATAATATTGGGAACCACTGTTCTAGGTCCTCCAGTGCAGCTCTGTGCTCCATTTATATTGGAAACTAATCACAGAATTATGCTGGAGAACCTTGAGAAACTCTATCAACTTCTTATGTTGAGTTGCATATGAATCAGCCATCCACGACCGGTTTCAGCCTTGCTCCTCCGATGGACTAAAATTATTATATACAGAAAAAATTGCTACAAATATATATATATATATATATATATATGGAAATATATTTGAAGATACTTGCAAAGTTATGAACTTAGCAACATTTGTTGCAAATATATCCATTAAACATCATATGTTAAAACACATTTAAAGGTACTTACAAAGTTATAAACTTGACACTTGTTCTCCTTAGAGATACTGGCTTTTTACTTTTTTAAGTGATATCTAAATCAAAGGGAAAGGGAAAAAATCAAGAATAAAATATCAAGTGCTGACTGATAAAAAAAAAATAGAGGAGGATTTGGCTTACCTAACTTTAAGTTGTACCATGAGGCATGTGCCCTGATCTGGATAAAAGATTGGATTACACTGAAGAAAGAAAACCTCCTGACATTGGAGGGCCATGATCTCCGGGTCGGGTGGCACGCATATGTATGGTACGGAAAAGAGAAAAAGGAAAGAAACTTTGGTAATCATTTTGTCCACTCCTCTTTACTCAGAATTTGGGACAGATATAAAAATCATTTTTACTCAAAAACCCCTCTCTGGACTTCATCAGTGGAAGCTAAACAGAGAAGATTATTAGGTTGGACTGTCTGGCCAACATATAAAGAACTTTTAAAACAAGGTACAATGGAGTTAAAATCACATGAAGAAATAGAACAAAGTCATCCAAGAATTATCTGGCTAAATTATTTACAAATAAAAGAACAATACAACCAAGATAAAAAATTAGGATTTCAAATCAAGGAAGAATTTTGGGATAAAATCCTCAAAACGGAAACAAAATGTATAACAAAACTATATGATAAGCTGTTAGAATGGTCTACAGAGACCGAATTAATAAAAAACTGTATGTTAAAGTGGGCGGAGAATTTTAAAAAACCGATAGCATTGGCGGACTGGGAAATAATGTGGAACAAAAATTCCGAGCAAAATTCAAGGTGCTGGTTTTGACCTACAAAACCCTGTACGGTTCCGGTCCAGTGTATCTGTCCGAACGTATCTCCCTGTACGTCCCACCCCGGAGTTTGAGATCAGCTGGGGAGGCACTGCTCTCGACCCCACCACTGTCACAAGTGAGGCTGGTGGGGACGAGGAGCAGGGCTTTCTCAGTGGTGGCCCCTCACCTGTGGAATTCCCTCCCGGGGGAAATCAGGACATCATCATCCCTCCTCTCCTTTAGGAGGAGGTTGAAGACGTGGCTTTGGGACCAGGCCTTCGGGCAATCTGGCAATTAAATCAGATGAACAAGACCAGCAGGATTGAAGAAGTGGAATGGAGAATGAGATATATGAGTTAATGAACGCTGACCAGGTGGGGGGATGATTTGGGTTTGTATGGGGCTTTTATTGATTTTATTGATTTTATTGGTATTATGTATGAATTGTTGTTACTTATGAATTGTATGAATTTTTGTATTGATTGTTTTGTGACGCGGGCATCAAATGGTGCCTTGCTTTTGTAAGCCGCCCTGAGTCCCCCCCGGGGTGAGAAGGGCGGGGTATAAGAACCTGTAATAAATAAAATAAATAAATAAAAAACTTAAGTATACTTATGCCACTGATCTCAAAGAAAACTGGATGAAAATGTTCCATAGATGGTACATGACTCCAGTGAAATTAAATTACATGTACAAAGAAGTATCAAAAAACTGCTGGAAATGTAACGAACACGATGGAAGTTTCTTCCACTTATGGTGGAGCTGTGAAAAAACCCAGAAATATTGGAAAGGTATTCATGAAGAAATGCAAATAATTTTCAAGAAAAAATTCCCGAGAAAACCCGAATACTATTTATTGGGAATAGTAGACGGTGATATAAGCTTGGATACAAATGAAGACATTTTATTTACGTATTTGACTACGGCTGCCAGAATCATATTTGCACAAGTATGGAAGCAGAAAGAAGTTCCGGCGAAATTCCAGTGGATAAAGAAGATAAATGAGATCAAGGACATGGATACACTAACTTTTTTATTAAAAAAGAATACTGGCAATCCAACAAAACAGACAAACTGGTCAATAATTGAAGATTATATTGAAAATAGATTAAAGGATTTTTAATTAAACACAGTGGTAATGAAGATATATAAGATTAAATATAAGATATGGATTAAAAGAAGAGACTGAACGGGCAGAATCAGAAGGAAGTCCAACTTAATTTTTATTTTTATTTTTTTATTTTTTACTTTTACTTTATTATTATTATTTATTATTATTATTTTACTGCATTTATTGACCGCCGCTCTCAGCCCTAGGGCGACTCGCGGCGGTGCACAACATATAAAAACAGTTTACAAAAAGGGCAAAACAGGGAATCAATACAACAATAATACACTATAATCTAGTTACACTAAATAATCCGCTCCGTCACATCATAGAATCATAACCAATATCGTAATCCGTATTCCGTTCCAGTTGTCAATTACCAGTTGCCGTAGCGCTCAGTTGAATGCCTTCTCAAATAGCCAGGTCTTCAGGCTCTTTCGGAAGGACAGAAGGGAAGGCGCCTGTCTGATGTCAGCAGGGAGGTCATTCCACAGCCGGGGGGCCACCACCGAGAAGGCCCTTTCTCTCGTCCCCGCCAGACGTGCCTGTGAAGCAGGCGGGATCGAGAGAAGGGCCTCCCCAGACGATCTCAAGGTCCTCGTGGGCTTATAGGCCAAGATGCGGTCCGAAAGGTATTTTGGGCCTTTCTTTTTTCTTCCCTCTTTTGTTTTTGTAATTTTCCTACTTTTCTATCTTCTTCAAATTATTCTCCCTCTTTCGTTGTAGTTTGTGATATCTTAATAAAAAAAATTACTTTGAAAAATAAAATAAATCAAAGGGACAAAATGTGGTTGTAAATATTTAAAAGTTACATATTCTAAAAATGAATGTTTTGTCAAAATATGAATGTATTTTACAAAACAGGAGAGTAAAAGGCTTGTATCTCGAGAACAAGTGTCAAGTTTATAGTTGTGGACGGCTGATTCATATGCAACTCAACATAAGAAGACATGGCATATATACCATTTCAAAGTGACTGTACAAAAACTCATATATTGTGTGAGATCACTGTGAATTTGAACAGTATAACAAGTTTCTACAATTATATGTTGAATTCTATTATTTCCTATTTTCTGTATAAGTGGGATATTTGTTGTAATTGCTATTTCTCAACCTTCCTAATATCACGACCCCTTAATACACTTCCTCATGTTATGGTGACCCCCCCCCAACCATAAAATTATTTTTGTTGCTAATTCATAACTGTAATTTTGCTGCTGTTATGAGTAGTAATGTAAATATCTGAATGCAGGATGTGTTGTCATTCACTGGACCAAATTTGGCACAAATACCCGATATGCCCAAATTTGAATACTGGTGGGTTTGGGGGAGTAACTGATTTTGTCATTTGAGAGTTGTAGTTGCTGGGATTTATAGTTCACCTACAATCAAAGAGCATTCTGAACTCCACCAATGATGGAATTGAACCAAACTTGGCACACAGAACTCCCATGACCAACAGAAAATACTGGAAGGGTCTGGTGGGCACTGACCTTGAGTTTTGGAGTTGTAGTTTATCTACATCC